GGGACCTACAAGGACTCTACATGTTTCTGCTTTTATTGTTTTTAAACTTGCAAACCGCCCAGAGTAGACTTTTGGTCTTGATGAGTGGGATAGAAATCCAAAAAATCAATAAATAAATGTTTTAAAAAATAACTTCTGGCCGGTGGAGCAGACGGACATGATGTGTTGGGCATGATGTGTTGCTATCTCTGGGACCTACAAGTACTGTACATGTTTCTGGTTTTATTGTTTTTAAACTTGTAAACCGCCCAGAGTAGACTTTTGGTCTTGATGAGTGGGATAGACATCCAAAAAATCAATAAATAAATGTTTTAAAAAATAACTTGCCATTTTTTTCTTAAAAGGTCAAGTCCCTCGTTGAGTCGTGGCGAGAGCGGCGGACTAGGGCCCAGGGTTCGAATCCCCACTGGGCCACCGAAACTCACTGGGAGGGGGCTTGAACTCATGAAACCACTCCTTCAATATCCCCCTCGCCTTGACGTCTCTGCCAGGTTGGTTTTGGCTCTGGATGCTTTCCTGCCATGCTCTTCTTCCTCCCTCCGTCCCCAGGATGGGTAAGAGAAAGTCGTCTCACTGCAGCGAGATCTTTTCCAAATGCAGATCCAACGCCTTGAAGTCACTTTGGAAAGTAACTCGAAAAGGGCCTTGTTACACCAAGGAAGGAGCTTGGCTCCTGCTTGCTTTTTGTCCTTTAGAAACCCAACTTTGTTTGCCCCCCCTGCCCCCCCAAAGAAGTGACTTCGCAATTTGGGCTCGTGTCGCACGTGTGGCAGGCCACTGGGCAGGCTCCCCGGAGGTGCCCGGTTCCTGGACGGGCGGAACGGCAGGCGGCCTCTCGTCCGTGGTGCCCCCGTCTTGCTTCGGCCCCTCCGCCTTGTCTCGGTCGGTGGATTATCAGCCGGCCACGATAAGAAACCCGGCGGCCGCACGAGCCCACGTGCCTCCCGGATAACAGACCGCGATAACCCTGCGGCCTTGATAACTCCCGCCCGCGGAGGTCATCCACCGGAGCGCCTCTGATAAAATGCACGCTGCGGTTTTTGCTGGCTGGCAGGCAGCTGAGATGCAGGAGCATCAGCCCCCCCAAACCAGGCTCCCTTGCAGGGGCCGGCCCTACCATGGGGCAAGCAGCCAGCCCTTGGGGCGGGGGGGGGGTCAAGGAAACACCAGCAAGCGCTTCGTTCTGTAACTGGGCGTCGCTGCGCTTGGAAGGGCTGGAGAAGGAGCTGCTGGCAGAGTTTTTCGGCTCTCCGAAACCTTCGCTGGTGGTGAGGGCTTCTGGGAGTTGTAGTCCACAAGCACCTGGTTGGGAGACCCTGCTCTGGGGCCACGGAGGGCAGGACACGGGAGAAGAAACCCGTCACGCCGTGATAACCAGGCCGTGGATAGGATCAGGGAGAGACCACCTGTGTCACGGAGGAGGGGGGGTTAGAGTGCTTTGAGTGAGACTCAGGAGTCCTGGGTTCAAATCCCCTCTGGGCTTGGGCGCGTCCCGGATTGCCCCGGGGCCAGGCGTTCTCTCTCGGCTCAACCGACCTCGCAGGGCTGTGGTGAGGAGGCCCAAGGAAGTAGAAAAAGAGCGATGTTTGCCATCTTGGATCTCAGTGAAGGAACAGCGAGATGCAATTATAACCAAGTACTGTAGTCAGTTAATCATCATACCGTGAGGAATGAGCAGCCTCTGGATCTGCAAATCCCAAGACAAACGGTGGTGTCGCCTTGATAAGTATTAAGTGTTCGGTGGCACCAGGAAGAGACCGAGAAAGGAATGAGGGCCTAACCCTTTTTTATGCTGGAGGGGCTCTGCTCTCCCAGCCCCACAAGGTCTAAATGCTGAGTTACAGGTACAAACACACACACACCCCAGCTCCTGGTGCTATCAAGGTACACAGGAGCTTTTAACGAGGGAGGCAGAAAGCAGAGATAGTGCTAATTGCCTGGTGATAATTGCCTCGTTATTGACCCTCCGCGGGGTGATTTCTAGCAGAGCTGCCCAGGCATTGATGAGCAGGTAAACATCATGGGTGGTGATAAAGAGCCTTCCTCCGCTCTTCCTCAAGGTCATCCTAATCACACCTTCCTCTGTCAGTTTTGTACCTTTGGCTTCCCTCAAGAACGGCCCCTTTGGGGTCCGAAGCAGCCCTTCCCAGACCCAAAGCCTGGAAAAGTGACTTTCCGGCAAGGCTAGCTCCCAAATTCCACCCCCCCTCCGGCCAGCATGGGGGGGGCCCACGGAGCTGCCAGAGTCACTTCCCCAATCAATGCCTGGAGAGTGGATCTATTGATTGATTTCATTTCTTATTGATTTATTTTAAATATTTCTACCCCGCCTCTCTCCTTGGGAAGAGATCCAAAGGGGCTTACATGCTTAAACGACAATATTGAAAGCGAAAAACAGTATATACAAATACTTTTAAAAGGATCAAACAAACTAAGGGATAGTTGTTGTTGTTGTTTAGTTGTTAAGTCATGTAAGCAAAAGCAACACTACAAATGCATTCAAAGCTTAAAGGCACAACCGTGTCCGTTTCAATGGTTCCCAAAATGTTTCTTTTTTAAAAGCAGAAGTCATTATTTCTAGGTGGATAGAAAGAGAAAATGCAATTTGGGCAATTGTGATGGAAAACAGTGGCTTATCGCCGCCTTCTCCCCCATTGTGGACAGAACTAATCCCTGCCGATAACATGCTTAGTCATGCCAACGACACCGTTCTGTTTTAGGGTTCTGTTCTAGGGTGCCCAGGGCAGTGGTTCCCAAGGTTGGGGCCCTCTGAGACCTTGGACTACCACTCCCAGAAGTCATGGCTAGCCAAGCCAGCAGTTACGGCATCTGGGAATTGTAGTCCAAGATATTTGTAGGCCCCAAGTTTGGTAAACCATGGCTTTAGGAAGAAAGCCGCCGTGCCAAGATCCCAGTGCAGGATGGGGTGATGGACGCCACGGAAGCCCCGCAAACATATGTCGAGGTCAAGCCACTTGGTCTGCTGTGCGTTTTGGCCAGCCAAGGGGGCAAACATGGGGCACAGTCCTAGGAGTGTGGCTGATAGGAGGAAAAGGCAGAGCATCAGATACCTTCCTGGTTTAGAAATGTGGCTGCCCAAGTTTGGTAAACCATGGCTTTAGGAAGAAAGCCGCTGTGCCATCCCAGTGCGGGGATCTTGAGGTGTGCAGCCAGGGTGATGGTCCGCTGTGCGTTTTGGCCAGCCAAGGGGGTAAACATGGGGCACAGTCTTAGGAGCGTGGCTGATAAGAAGAAAAGGCAGAGCATTGGTTTAGGAATCTGGCTACAGAGCCAGAGGTTAGATGGTAAACCATGGCTTTAGGAAGAAAGCCGCTGTGCCATCCCAGTGCGGGGATCTTGAGGTGTGCAGCCAGGGTGATGGTCCGCTGTGCGTTTTGGCCAGCCAAGGGGGTAAACATGGGGCACAGTCTTAGGAGCGTGGCTGATAAGAAGAAAAGGCAGAGCATTGGTTTAGGAATCTGGCTACAGAGCCAGAGGTTAGATGTTTGATTCCCCCTCAGTGCCTGCTTCATAGGGCCTGGACTCGATGATCTATATGGTCCTTATCAACTTTGCTGTTCTAAGATGATGATGATGATGATGCTATTGCTATTCATTGTCCTGAATAAGATAAATCCTCTACGAGCTGGTGATTAGGAAAAGAAATATAATGTCCAGAGGGATATCCTCCAAGGATTCAACACTTACAATTGGGATAGGCTCCCTCCAGTTCCTGCTAGCGTTAATATTATCCATTCAGTAGCTTAACTGGACAAATGAGGGCTACACGTCCCCTCTCCAGACACAGGTTTAAAAGGATTTCTAAAGTTTATTTAAAAAGAAGAAGTCAAGTGAGAACATAAAAGGATAATAAAACAAATTAGGGAAAACAGTTCCGGATTCAAAACATTTGTGGGTACAGAATTACAGGATACCGAACAGAAGCACCAGAATATAAGTAAAACTAAAGCTACCGTTATCTTAATCTAGCTAAGCAGAGAGATGGGTGGAGCTGAGCTTTCCTCCATGATGCTAAATCATGGTCCACCTTCACAGAATTGCAAAATTCTCCTTGTGAGCCAGGAAGGTAGTCCCTATGTGAGGGGGAAGCCTTGCCCGGAAACGTCTTCCCTGAGGGACCAAGAGTGAAACAAAGACACCACTTTTTCCAAGTCCCCTTTATACCAGTGGATGGGCCATTTCTTAATAGCTCTTAATCCGCTTTGATTAAAAAAACCATCCTGACACAAGAATTTGAGGAAAGACAGCTTCTCTGACCTACTGCTGTAATCTGTATAAGTCTCTGAGAAAGACAGGACTTGACTTTCCCCAGAGCAGTAATTTACACTGGAGTCCCTTTTGATAAAAGTTAGGCATGGAAGCATCTGTTCCTAATTGTCTTCACCTTTGAAGGTCCAGGAGGGAGGTGAGTGATGTGATTCTTTGATTTATCCTTCAAAGCACAGGAGAGTTCATCAGCTGCATTCCAGATTTCATATTTCCAGAGTCCTTAGTTTCTTCACAACATGGAAACTCAGAACGGAGTGATCTTGTCCCGGACTGCATCTGAAGTACTGGGTTGGACTGGGGGGGGAAGGAAAGGACAAAAATTAAGCCCAGATTCCAACAGCTGCCCTGGGGTGTGCAAAATTGCACCTGTGAGGTGAAGAGGGAGTTTAGGCAGCTTCTCATAGCAACAAACTGGGCAGACCCCCTTTCTCAAGATTCAGCGGAAGCTGAATGTTTATGGAGGGATACCTTCCCTCTTTCTCCTTCTCTCTCTCTCTCTCTCACCTGCAGAAGATAAGACATCAAGGCGGTCTTCCTCTTTCTTCATCCTACACAGGAGGAACAGAAGAGCAAGACGTCAGTTTCAGCAGAAGGGGCTTTAGGGGATGCTGGCATAAGAATTGAGAGGCATCAGAATTGTCCTCTGCCAGTCCGTCTCAAGAAGGCATGCTGGAAGGAGGATCTTTCCCTGGGACTGAGATCCTGGCATCCGGGAAGGAGAGTGGAGAATCCAGTCCTTCCGAGTGAATGTGGTATTTATTTATATTTCTCTCCTGGGGTCAGCAGGGTGGTTCATCGCCATGGGCAGACCTGTCTTCCCATTTTTTATGTTCTAAAACACGTTTTACAGGTTGGTGTGGCTGTCATAATAACGTCCCGTGTCCATGAGTCCCACACGGTTGACGTTGCATTGCTGTGAAGTGGATAGTTACATTTTGTGATGAAACATGTGGTTTCCTGCTCTTTCTTCCAGATCACGCCATCCTGTGTGGGAGCTGATTGACCACAACAAGATTGTTTACAAATCTCTCTCTTTCCCTTGCTAGGAACCAGGAAGGCCACTCTCCCCCCCTCCGCCCCTCCTTCAGCCTCCACCAAGAAAACCATAATGCTCAGTTTAATCTTTGATCCCCCATCCTGTCCTCTGAAGATGCCCATGGCCACAGAGACTGGTGAAACATTAGGAAGAACAATCTTCAGAACACGGCCAAACAGCCTGAAAACCCCACAACAACCATTAGATCATGGCCGTGAAAGACTTTGCGAATACAATTAATATTGCTTTTCGCTTTTTTTGCAGCTCTGCCAGTGTTATTTCAGAGATCTGTAGCTGATCATAATATTTTTATAAAATCCCGCGGCATTATTCCCAATGGCCCAATAACTTTGGGGGGGACCACTGAAAGGTGTTTTATCCACCTGCAAATTCTTTCTATTGCCCGGTCTCCATATTTTGCTAATTTTTCCAATTCTTTATCCTCAGCTCTGGCATCCTCTGGAATTGTAATGCCAATCATCTTCCTTGAAGGATCAAGAGTGAAACACACTTCCAAGTCCCCAATATATACCAGTGGATGGGCCATTTCTTAATAGCACTTAATCCGCTTTGATCAAAAAACATCCTGACACAAGAATTTGAGGAAATACAGCGTCTCTGGCCTATTGCCGTAATCTGTATAAGTTTGCATAAGACGTCATCACGCTCCTTCAGATGCCAGCTCCAGGAGTGGTTTAGCGACCACAGCATTGTTGGGGATTCATGTGATTAGGGGACTCTTGGAAGAGAAAAAAGAGGAACCTTTCCAAGTTCCAGGCAGGACCGCTAAGAACTCAGCTTTGCTGCGCAGCCCTGGCAGAAAAGCCCCCCCCCCAGCTGGTCCCACCCCAGCCATGCCCTGCTGTTTTACCTATTCCTGCGCCTTCGGCAGAAGCACACGGTCATCACGACAATTAAAATAACTCCGAGAGGAACGAAGATGCCAGTCAGGATGGCTACTAAATGGTTGTCTTCTTTTTCTGTTTGGGCACGAGGAAGAGAGAAGGGGAGAAAAGATGAACTTCAACAAAGCCTGCAAACAGAGGAGGCAGGGCAGGGAAAAGCAGGAAGCTGAGTTACCTGGTGCTATAGGTACCAGGGTGGTGTTGGGGGCGTTTGTGGGGGACACATCCAGTGGTGCCTCCTCGCACAAGGGTCCCGTGTAGCTCTCGAGACAGCTGCAGGTGAAACCCTCTGGGCCGTCCGACTCCACGCAGGTCCCCTCGTTCTGGCAAGGGCTGCTGAGGCAGGGACTCGCTGCAATGGAGACGGGAGTCAAGCCAAGCTCCATCCAGGCCTCTGGGCGGCCAGCTTCCAGACACCCACCCTCTCCTGCCCTCCCAGGGAGAACCCCATCTCCCCATCTTCCGTGCCCTGCACCAAGGGCGGTCCACGTGATGGGCGATCGTGCCCAAGCCAGGCTAGCATCCCATGCTTGGGGGCTCGCTTATTTTCAAGCTGGTCTACGTGGGGGGTGGGCACGAAGTGAGAGCAGAACTGGGGTCGTGCTGGCCAGAGGATACGGGGGGGGGGTCGTCCCTCAAAGTCCAAATTCTGGGAGCATACTCCCTAACACCTCTGCAAAATCCATGGTCTGAGTAGCTGTCGTGGTCCGGCAACACCATCCCCAGGACCGGCTAGATGATTTTCCTACTGAGTTTTGGAGAAGTAAAGGGAACCTGAACCCTCCTTTTAAATGGGGGGGGGAGCTCTCTCCTCCTCTTCCTCTTCCTTCCCCTCCTCCAGCCTATTTACCTCGGAAGCAGCCCCGGGTGTAATTGGCCACGGTGCAGATCTGGCCTTCAGGGCAGCCGGCCGCCTCGCACTCCAGGGTCCCCGTGTTGCGACAGGTGCAACGCTGGGAACAGTTGTCCGTCAGGAAGGTGTCGTTGATCTGTGGAAAAAGGGGGGGGGGAATGGCAGCCACACTGGGAGAATCCACAAAAGGTCCCTGGGGGGACCTGCTCTGCCCACTAGGCTCCCATCCCATCCGATTTCCCAAGCTGGCCGTCCTCCCTTCCATCCTCAGGCTTTGATGCTTTGGGGGGGGTTGTCCTCCTCCACCACGTCCCCCTCGCAGAAACCCGGGAGCATTTTTGAAACCCCTTTTTCCTCGCCCACGTCTTGATCGACTCCTTTCATCTGTTGCACTGATTCTGCCACCACCACCCCCCGCCCCAGACAAAGATGTGTTTCTTCCTGGTCTAGTGTGTCCCTCTTGGCCCCTTTGCCTTTTGAAAAGGGGGGGATCCTGTTTTGTGTGTGTGTGTGTGTTTTAAATGAAAAGAACAAAGAACAAAACAAAAAACAAATTCAGGAAAAATACCTGTACACAATACCGATCGAACCTTCCCCACCAGTCCCCCTTTCAACCTCAAGACTCAGTAACCAATAATATCATTTGATAGCTTTTCACCCCATTCCTCTCCAAAAATATATGGATTCTTCTGCCGGCCTATAGCCTTTCCAAAAGACATGTCCCAATATGTACACGCCGTACATGCCATGCAAGGGGGACGAGGGAATATAGTTTTGTGCATTTTGCAAACGCACAAGGGAGGAAGGCATTGACCGTTTCTTCTCACCATGAGTCTCGGCAGGTGCGAAAAGAGGATTTTCATGGAGATCTGAAAATTCAAAAGAACTCTTCCCCCCCCCCAATCCCTTTTCCCCACCTGCAACCCATGAAACATCTCTTCCTCCCCTATGGATGGCATCCCACGGCCGGACTCTTCCCCCTTCTGCTCTCCCCAGCCGGCTGGGCCGGCTGCCTAGGCGTCCTGCTTCGCTCCCTTCCGCTCCTCTCTGCTTTCCTACCTGGTAGTACTGGTCGTTGCTGGTGCAGCCGCACTGGTTGTAGGGCACGACCTCCAGCCCACTGAGCAGGTAGCCGGGGTCGCTGGCGCAGCCCTCCACGCAGGGGGCCTGACAGTCCGAAGGGGCGGCCATGTTGGCACAACTGGCAGGACAGGCGCTCATGCAAGACTGGTACGTGCTGTGCACTGGGCAGGATATCTCTGCGGGAGGGAAGGGAAAGGTTGAATGGTTTGTTTAAAACGGCCCCGTTACAAAAAAGGAGTCGAGTTATGCTACTGTGCGTTTGCCTCCCAGTTTGGATTTGCAACAAACTGAAGCTGGGGGGGGGGCTCGGAGGAAATCAAGGGCATGCATTGCTTGTTGTTGTTGTTGTTATTTTTAATGACAGGCTGTCTGATCACGATCAACGGGAGGGTTCACAAACGGGGAAGATACGGTGGATGCGGAGAAGGAGAAACCATCCACGCAAAGCTTCATCTTATCCCAGGCCAACGGGAAGGTCCCCGGAAGAGCGGGCCGGATCTGAACCATTTCAGGAAGGTATCCAGACCCAGCAGGGCCGGGCTGGGCTGGAAATTCTCTCTCTGAAACCCGGACAGGCCAGACCTTTGGGACTCGAGGTCCTGGCGGTGGGGAAGGGGGAGATGGGGGCTTTCTTCACCGCAGCCTGTCGCTTGTCTCCAGGGCCCCAGCGTGACGCCCTCCTCCTGGCAGAGCTGGGCGTAGGCGTTGTAGTCCTGGCACAGGAGTTCTGAGTCGTTGAACAAAGCACACAGGTCGTAGACGCAGCTCCTGGTCGGACGGAGAGAACAAGGCGGCCATCCCGTGAAGGGGGTGCCAAGGCATAGAACGTGCCAAGGTTTTTCCTTCCCTGGCGCCTCCCCCGCCCCACCCCCCACCCCAGGCTTATACACTCACTCCTGGAAGGTGTCAGGGGAGATGATGCTGTGGCAGGCGGCAAAGGGTCCCTGGGGGTCAGAGAGGGCCCCACAGTTGTCTGTCCCGTTGACAAGCATCAGTTGCTCGGGGCTGCAGTCGACTTCGAATCCCGACTCAGCTTCCTCCGTGGGCTCCTCCTCGCGCCTTGCGGAGAAAAGACGGCATGGTCAGGATTCGCACACAGAACGGAACAAAACAGGGAAGGGATCCATGGCTCCTGTCAGCCAGACAAGCTGCAGAAAGAGCTTAATATAGTCGGGGGGGGGCTTGGTGGTCCAGCCCACTTTGAACCCTATGCTTCATGCAATAATCCCTGGGGGGAAGACGAAGGCCCTGCTTTCTGCCAAGCCAGATGACAGTTGCCCCATATCGAAAAAGAAACCCCTCGCTAAGAAAGGAGGCCGCCAGGCACGCACACGGCCAGAGGAGGCTGACCTGGCACGGACGTGCCCGCTGGCCGCCACCTCTCTTTGGACCGAGACCTGCCAGCTGTTCCCGAAGGTATTGAGGCTCCGGGTCCAGGTTCCATCTGGCTTCATGTACTCGTTGCTCCGACGTCCGTCGTAATTCCCGCAGAGCCCGCCGACGTGATCCTGGTAGGTGGTGGGGAGGACGATCTCTGGAGGGTTGACAGAGAGAAGGAGCACGAGTGGGAGGAACACAGACGCACACACGCACGCACGCACACCCTCCTCTGCCTCTGAAGGAGACGGCTCCCCCTCGGCTTCCCATGCTCTACCTCTGCTTGAACCAGGACATCACAAGAGTGTCCGTGTTCCCAGATGGAACAGCTTGTGGAGGACCTCTCTCTGTCAGAGCTTAGCCGTGGTCCTTATTTTTTTTATTACAACTCCCATAATCCCCCAAACAGCAATGTCCAGAGGTGGACTCTCCAGGGTGTCGAGCCAGGCATGTGGCCAAGCTACATTCTGCCCCCCTACCCCCCAGAACTTCAATTCCCAGAAGCACCTTGGGTCTCCATCCTGCGATTTCCAGGTTGGCTTTATCCCAAGGTGATGTGTCTCCACGGAGGAGATGCTTTCTTTTCGCCTCCTCCTCCTCCTCTTTGACATCCCCCCACGTTGCCCTTACCAGCAAGATCTTGGCCGTCGAAGGAAACCGAGAACCCAAAATCCGTTTGCACAATGAGTTTCCGGCCTCTCTGTGTGATCTGGAGCCTGTCGTCCGGAGCGTGGTATGGGGGCGTGATCCTCAGGCCGTTCACCTGGAAGACAGGGCAAGAGGGAGAAGGAAGAAGTGTTGTGGGTTTTGTCGTGCTGCATAAAAGTTCAGGAAGCAGGGCACAAAATGCTCCCGCCTGGAGAAGAGAGGCAGAATGGTCCTGGGGCTTGTATGGTGTAAGGACAGCGCCCGGCTTTGTCAGTTTGTGTTTTTCCTGGAGAGGAAAGACTCAGGTGGCTTGCTCCCATCCATGTTTGGTGATTACAATTCCCATCACACCAGTCGGCGTGGTTCAGGGGTAACAAACAGGGAAGGTGCTCGCTTGGAGAAAGCTGGGCTGAAGCGCGTGGAACGCTTTAACCCAGAAAGAAAAACAACGAAGTATTTTTTTTAGTCCGGTTTGGTAAGGCAACAGATTCAATCGAAACCTCAGTAAAAGTGTGTAATCCTTGCTGCTCTTGAATGACTCTAAAAAGATACGAGATAAATTCACCGAAGTGGACAAGCCCTAGCCATGCTCCCCAACGGTGACGGCTAAATCAGGCCTCTGTGGTCAGGGGAAGTCTATCTGTGAAGGGCGGCTGCTGCAAAGGGGAATCCAGCCACATGGAAGGCAGTGACGGTCATCTTGACACCCTGCCCGTCATCTTCTTGGAGGCTACCTGTCGGCTTCTGCAGCAACCTAGATGCAGCAGGAAACGCTACCCAACAAAGTCAAGTTGAGACGTTCTACATTTTGGGGGACTTACATCTTGCAGCCTTCTCCAGACAGCAAGCTGCCTGACTGGGGAAATCTATTTATTTAATTTGATTTGGGTTCATTTCCACCTGGCCTTTCCCCTAAGGCAGGGGCTTTGTAATCACCAAACCAGCCGTTCCAACAGCTACTGTGGAACAAAGCAGTTTTTCCAAAGTTTGACTGATGGAGGTTTGCTCTGTATCAAGCAAATGGGAAACAGCAAAGTTGCAGAGAAAATGTAACAAGACCTTGTCTCCCCCAAACCACCTCTGAGGATATGTTCTCAGTCCCGATCTGGGTGCAATTTCCTGAATCCTTACCTATATTCTTGTCCCAGCCTTGTTTCCTATTATTATTATTATTA